TATTAAAACAAAATAAAACTCTATTTAGCTCCTAATAATAAAAATCACTAAAAATTATATTTAACCTAAAAGCTATTTCTAAACTATATAATTAAATCTATTTAAAATAAAAACTATTTCTAATAAAATTAAAAACGGTTAAAACTTTAAAATAAAAATCAAAATCTAAAAACTATTTAAATCCTAAAATATCTCTAACATTACTAACTTAATTCTAAAATCCTAAAATATCTCTAAAATTACTAAATTAATTCTAAAATCCTAAAATAATCCTAAATTAAATCAAATCTAATTAATTTTAAAATCCTAATTTAATAATACTAATAATTACCAATTAATTCTAAAACTAAATTTTAATTAATTTTAAAACTAAAGAACTAGCTAAATAATAAAACTAAAAATAATATCTATTGATTCTAATAACTAATCTAAAATAATAATTAAAAAAAAAGTTCTAAACAAATAAATAAATAAAACTTATTTAAAATCTAACTTCTATTTTCTATCTAAAACAAAATAAAATCCTATATTAAATTCTATTTAACTATTAAAATAAAATAAAATCTATTATAAAAACAAATAAAATTCTATTCTATTTCTAAATAACCTATTCTAAAAGTCTATTAAAATCCTAATAATATAACTCTAAGAAAAAAACTTTAATCTAAGCTAATAAGTAAATAAATAAATAAATAACTACAATAAAACTAACAATAAAAATTTATTTCTATTTAAAACAATATGAAAAACCTATTTAAACTAGATAAATGCTAAAACACAAATATATACAAAAAAATAATAATATTTGCAAGGAAAAAGAGAAATTAAAAAGGATTGAAATTTACAAAAAATACTCTTAGGCCACGTGTCACACTCCCATTGGGAAAAATAATCGAGATTTGAAAAACGCCCAATCGAAGGGTGGACACGTGTCTAAACGGCATGAAATTAAATAAAAAATGCAATATAAAAATGCGAAAATATTTACAAAAGTTGGCGGGAAAATTTAGGGTATGACAACACCATTCAAACTCCATTGACTTGGATATCAATTCATCTTCCAAAATATTCCATAACTCATCATCAAGACCTATGATGTATACATCTTGCTCTTCCACCATTCAAACTCAGTAGAGTCTCCACTAATTGTTAGAGGTCTAGCTGTATAATTATTTTTCGCATAGGCACTGTAGTTACGACTTATACTTCCAAAGTATTAGGAGTACCCTTATTAGAATTAGATACTCCAGAATCATCCATTATAAAATATGTGTTTTTCTTAGGATCTTTTTTGTACCACTGTTAAGTGTGTAGCACAGGCATTACTTTGATGCCAACTGAAGGTGAGAAAAATACAAGAAGGGGGTTGAACACTTGGTTCTCAATCAGATGGATCTCAATCAGATTCTGAACACTTGGTTCAGAGTGTGACTCAAAGATACTAGGTTGCCTTCTAAAAGTCCTTATTAGATTTTGAAACAAAATCTGACTCAGAGTTCAAAGTTGATAGCAGCGAAATGATAAGTACAAAAGCAAGGAAAGTAAAAGCAAAGACACACAGTAGTTATCATGGTTTCTCTCACAACTTGAGAGTAGTCCAATCCCCTTGCACATCCAAGGGATTTTCATTATAACCAAACTGATTATAAATGCTCAAGCACTAAGCAAGAGACTTCCAATGCTCAAACCCACAAGTAAGATACTTCTATGCTCAAGCACACAAGCAAGAGACTTACAATGTTCAAACCCTCAAGTAAGAGACTTTTATGCTCAAGTACACAGACAAGACACTTCAAATGTTCAACTACTAAAGCAATAGACTTATGAGTCTATAACAAACAGTTAAGAGATTTAGGTAATAACTACACTTGATATACAATCAGAGGTGTAGACAGAATACAACTTAGAAAGACTCTAAGACTTAAGAACTTCTAAAATATACACAATATTAAGATGTTCTAAGTCTAACTTATTTTTGATAAAGTAACTTCTCTTTGAAATGTCAAGGTTCAGATTCTTGTATTGGAGTGTATTACATTAGTCATCTTCTTCAGGTCTTCTGCTCCTTATATAGAAAGGAAGAAAAAAGACGTTGAAGACTTTCACCAAAATATTGGGCTAGCTTTGTACATGATTTGAAACATCAATAAAGCACCTTTCTACAAGAGGAATTATCCATTGAAGCTCAAAATGCAAAGAATAGATTTTTCCTTAAGTTTTCACGTGAACAAAAGGTCTCTGAGTCTGTCAGAGTTGCCTCAATTGAAGATAACATGCTTCAAAGGTTGACTTTTTTCAGACTTCACTCTTTAGATGCTGATCTCTTCAAAGTCTACTTCTAGGCTTCTGAAGCTTCAGAGTTTGGATCACTAGAGGCTGACTTTCTTTAGAGTTGACTTCTTTAAAGTTTGGATCTTCCATCAGAGTCAGAGTTTTTAGAAGTGATCCTAGAGCTAGAGTCTGAACTTCAGATTCATAATCCTCAAGCTTCTATTTATCTGCTATCAGTCTTATCATCCTGCATACTTGAACAAATGTTAGAATACCAAATTTTTCTTTAAATACTTTGTTATCATAAAAATCCAATGGATATGCTATTTACCATTTTTGTTCCAACACCATATTGAAACTACGAATGCAATGGAAGATGTTGCATACCAAGATGGTGAGATTTCACCATTTAATGAGGTAATTACAATTGAGGAGATTACAAGTTTGTGTGATATTGTAGTTGAGGATCAATAGGTTAACACAACTATTTTGTTGTCAACAAATCTCGTGGAAGAAGAGGATGAAGAGTCAGGAGAGTTTGAAGATAATAATATCAAATCTAGTGAAGACAGTGAAAATTAAAATGATGAAAAATCTGAATAATATGTATTGTGTAATATTACTCTGATGTTATTGTCAACAAACCATGTGTAATATTATTTTGCTCGAATTAATATATATCACTCTTGTAATTTTGATATATTTATTGTTTTATGTTTTTCTTTCAAAATATAAGAAATGCCACCCCAACTTGAGGAGAATGGTAAGGGTCAAAAGACTCGTCGCACAAGGGTCATTATAGAAGAGGTTGTTGTTTTATCTTTGTATATTACTATGCCACTTTCGAGTCAGGGGGCTTGACCGCCTATGCATCCTACTCCACCATGTATGCATCCATATCCACGGTCTGTACATCCTACTCCACCCATATTTGGATCTTTGACTGGATTACTATTATAAGCGCCTGATTTATCTACATTCCCACACGCCAGCTTTTATTAGTCCTCTTGGATATACACCTTTTATACAACTAGTGGACCTAGCCCCCTACATCGCACATCTTTACTTATGCCTTCAATGCAGCCGAGTGGATCTAGCTTTCAACATTTTGCAAAGGTACCTATGCAATATATGGAGACAAATGGATCTAGCATGTCACGTTCATCATCCATTCATTCTACGCATGAGGAGCATGATGATGAGGATGATCAAGATGCTACTAGTGCACATGAGGAGTGAGGAAGGTCGCGCTTGATGAGAGTTGTGTCACAACATATAAGAAACATAATGGCGGATTTATCATTTGGCCTAAGGGAGGATCATAAGTGTTTATGTTTTATAATATATTTTAAATTTGAGTTATTTTTTTAATTAAAACTAACTCAAAATTTTGTTGTTTACCATTTTCCCTCACATCCTGTAGCAAGGTGCATATCAAAATTTATTAAAGAATAGTATAAAAAATTTCGCCGACTTATGGATCACTTTCCGATGATGATAAGGAAGATTGATTTAAGTTCTTTTAGGTATAATTAACTAATTCATTTAAGTAATTATCATTTTAGTTACCTTTATATTTATTAAAATATTCTTGATTATACTTTATTTAACATATTTTTTGAATTCATACAACAATGTAGGAGAAAAGTATTCGGGACATTAGAGATCATCACCAAACTAAAGACAATTTTCATTTGAGATGTGTTGCCCGCCTTTCTGACACGCTTAGGCGTGCTAGACTTACCTGGATTATAAAAGATATCAAGCGATATGATAGGAGTTTGAGAATGAGAATTGCTGATGGAGAAGGATCATCACATCTACCAATATTAACCGCTGAAATGCTAGAAAATATGAAAAATTTAGTGCATACCGATGTAGCAAGCGAAGCAGCATGAAGAAAGGCAGAAATGGAAGAAATGAGGAGAAAAAAAATAGAGATGGAGGAGGAAATGAGGAGAAAAACAATGACGTATGAGAAAGCCTTGTGAGTTGCAAATAAACGCGCACGAGAATTTGAACAATTTATGGTCTCACAGGTGAACCAATGTTCAGGTGGTGGATATGGAAGAGTTAGTGAATATAGAGGAGTTGATTATCAACGATAAGATGGTGTAGAAGATGAGGAAGTGGAGGAAGGAGGATGATAATTAAAATATTTGAATATAAAACTTTGTATTTTTAAATTTAACTTGGGTGAATATGGTGACCTGTTTATTTTTATTAAACTTTAATTATAAATTATTTAATTTTATAATTTTATTTTTACAAATTTTAGAATTACATATTTATTTGTTATAATAATGCTATTATTTATTATATTTATAATAATATGATTATAATATTTTTTATATTATATTATAAATATTAATTATGAATAACCTATACACTGCGTTGTAAAAAAAATAAAAACAATATCATTTGTGAGGGGGTTACCCTTCACAAGTAAGAGACTTAAACCTCCGCATGTCTGAAACACTCTATAAACACTCTTTTCTTGTAGTGGAATTTAACTTAATTGTTGTTCAATTTTATAGATCTTCATCAAACCTAGAGATTGATTCTCCACTCATAACAACCACGATTTAAATTTCAAATTGCAAATATAACTATTGGAGAGTTGCACAAACTTAAACACTAAAGAAATATATATCCTATCTTTTCATTATCTAAATCTAACTTAAAAAGATAATATTACTCTTTATTGAAGTATGAAAAGATTTATGATTTCAAGGCTTATGATGTTGGGTGTAGATATAGTCTAGATGGGCTTCTAAAGTCACTCTTCTCTTCATACATTCTTCATCTTCAATATTGCAATTCTCCATTTCCATAAGCTGCGAAATTTCATAACAAGCATAATAAGGTATAGCTTTTCTAAGAATTACAAAAATCAGATTAACTAAAAATTGTGACTACCTTCAAAGATTCACCTCCTTCTAACTCCAAAAAAAAGTTCTCTCCTGAAAAACCAGTTTCTATACTTTACAAAAATACATAGCCTACAAGGAGATAATATGAATAAGAGTTAAGAGTTGTAAGCATACCTTGTTCACTTGTAAGTGGCCTTGAAGAGAGTATTGTGGAGAAAAGCAGAAAGAATAGGAACAAGAGTTGAAAGATAAAACTTAGCCTCATTTTCACTTCAACGTGAGAGAGAGAGAGAGAGAGAGAGAGAGAGAGAGAGAGAGAGAGAGAGAGAGAGAGAGAGAGAGAGAGAGAGAGAGAGAGAGAGAGAGAGAGAGAGAGAGAGAGAGAGAGAGAGAGAGAGAGAGAGAGAGAGAGAGAGAGAGAGAGAGAGAAAGGTTTTAGGACTATGGAGTATCCAAGGGGTAGCTTGGTGTTTGTGCCACCAACATGAAGATATATATATATATATTAGATGGTCGTGTGACGAGACCCGACAAGAGCATTATTAGGATTTGATGTACATGTGAAAATGCTTTGGTGTTGTGGGCAATAGTGGTCCAAGCACAGTCTCAGAGACAGTCAATGTGTTTGTTTTATGTGGTAAGTTGTTGAGTTGACAGTAGTAGCAAGTCAATCTTTCGGACACTTCACACAGCTGTTCTCCAATCTCCAACTTCATGTTTTACCTCTGTTAAATTATATTTTCTAATAACAGTGGACTGTCATACTTTTCAGATGTTTGGTTTTTTTAATGTTTGTAACACAAATTTTACATTGACTCACTTTGATGGATATTCTACTATGAAACAATGGATGGTTTTCTGTAATGTGTTCACAATTAATATAGTTTTGCATGGTGCACAAGTTGAAAGTGACTAATAGAACTATTCACCTTGGTTTTGCATTCATTTATGCAATGATATATACAACAAATATTTTCTTAATAATATTTCTAATGATTAACTTACAATTCTGAATATATATATATATATATATATATATATATATATATATATATATATATATATATATATATATATATATATATATATATATATATATATATATATATATATATATATATATATATAAAAGTTCTCTCTCTTATAAAGAATTATGCTATTTATCAAGTTTATATTCAAACTTATAATTTTCATTCACATTTCCCTAAACATAAAAGGTCTTATTTCCAACAAAGTGACATCAGAGTTTTAAGGTCCTCAAAAGATGGCGAAAGGAGGTTTCCCTTTTTAAATGTCGATGCTCACAAAGAAGAACTATAAAAATTGGAGTATAAAAAAGATGAATGCGCTACTAGGAGCTCAAGATGTGTGAGATATCATTGAGAAAGACTTCAAGGAGTAAGATGAAGCCTCGCTAAGCCAAAGTGTAAAGGAGACATTGAATGAGCCAAGAAAGAGAGACAAGAAAACTTTCTTCCTCATTTATCAATCGGTGGATGAAAATACATTTGAGAAGATTTTCAATGCAACGACGGCCAAAGAAGTATGGGACAAACTTTAAACTTGCAACAAAGGAGTGGAACAGGTGAAAAAGATTTGTCTTCAAACTCTTAGAGGTGACTTTGAACATTTATTTATGAAAGAGTCCGAGTCAATTTCTGATTATTTTTCTCGAGTATTGACCATAGTCAATCAACTTAAAAGAAATGGTGAAGATGTTGATGAGGTGAAAGTCATAGAGAAAATATTTTGCACTTTAAATCCAAGTTTTGACTTCATTGTTACCAACATTGAAGAAAACAAGGATTTAAAGACCATGACTATTGAACAACTCATGGGTTTCTTACAAGCATACGAAGAAAAACAAAAAGAGAAAAATTAAACAAAAGGAGGCTATGTAGCAACTACTACAACTTAATGCAAAGGAAGCAAACTATGTGAATTATAAGATCCAAAGAGGACGAGTTTGTGGTCAAGATCGTGGACATGGACGAGAAGGAATAGGCGGTTACAATAACAACTCCAACAACTTCAACAACAGAGAAAGAAGTTGGAATCCACAAGTAACAAGAGGTCGTAAAAGAGGAAATTCATGGTCGATGTAACACCCCAAAATTCTTGAAATATTTATTTAAATATAAATATTCGCATTTTTTGGTAATTTTCGATGGTTGGTGTGAATATTGAGAATTATGGATTTTGAGTATTTATTTAAATAATAGTATATAATATGAATATATTGGTATTATTATTAATTTAAATAAATATAAATGAATTAAGGGCAAAATGGACTTTGAGGAGGAGTTAGTGAGGGTAAAGTTGGAGAACTCAATTTTAAGGCCCAAGGTTAGGTTTAACAAATTTTTTTTTTGAGGAAATTAGGATTCATTCTTGTTAGACCGTGAAAAGGGAAGAAATAGAGGTTAGAGCTCTGAGGAAGAGGATTGAGGCAAAAGCTTCGCAAGGTTTCCAAGAATCAAGGAGAAAGACTTAGATTCGGCCATTAAGGTATGAGGAGTATTGCCTTTATTGTTTTCAACATGTGATTTAATGTGTTTAAAGCTGATTTAAGGGTTTATGGATTTTTGATTGAATTGTTGTTGCCTTTCTGATGGTGAGTTTAATGAGTTGAGAGATTTGAACTGATGGTCTGATAGGTTTGAGGATGATTTGAGATAAGGGAAATTAGGCCTTCGTGGCCAAAATCTGTTGTTGAGGTTTCAACCCTGTAGGGTAATTGAATAGTGAGAACTCTAATGAACGTGGTCTAGTTGTAAGGAAATTATGGGAATTAGAGGCATAAATATAATACTGGATTGGCCTAATAAGTCGTAGATTTTGTGCCTTTATCGCCGTAATACCTTAGGAATGATTTAGGGATGTTTTTGGGCATTGGGGAAGGAAATCGTAGAGGTTTTTGGTCTGGTTTTATTGTAATCGCGAGTTCGCACAACGAAGAATGCTTCGCACGGCGAACATTCGCCTCAGATTCACACAAAGAACTTGCTAGCAAACATAGTAGATTTTCACGAATTCTGATCTTGTACAATGATGTCTTGATGTTTTGATGTTGTGATTTATTTGATGAATTACCATGAGTTTAACTACGATCCCCTTGTGATTATTACATGATTGTATGATGATTCCTATGAGTATGATGATGAGTTATGATGTTGATTCCATGAGTTTTGATGATTATATGATGACATGATTATTATGATGACTTTGATGAATGATGATGCATCTAATGATTTTATTATGAGGATGATATTGACGTGTGCGTCATGCAGTCATATGCATTTGGACTTTGGTTCAGGACCTTGATTTTTGTGGCTTCAGTCCCATTGTGCGGATGTGAGGTGTTTTGTTGTGCTCCGGTTCTCGTGTAGAATCGATCCTACTATTGTGGATCCATGGAGGGTCGATGACCCAGTGTCCATCGAATTTTGTTTATTGGTACCACATGCATGAGTCTTGTTGCATTTTCATTTATGTGACATTTTGATGTAAATTATAATGTTGTGGCCTTTGATGTTCCTTGATGATTACAATGAAGTTGAATATGAAAATGACGCCATTTTATATATTGATTCCTATATTGATTATTATGAATCATTTTACTCACTATGCATGTTCGAATGTTGCCTCCACGTGGGTAACATGCAGATGACCAAGTTTAGTCGAGGATGCCATCGAGGACTTTTGAAGTTTTGGGTTGTTGGCCATTGTGGTTGACTTAGAGGGTCTTGCTCTGATAGTGTAATATTGGGTTGGGGTCTTTGAGTCAACTATATTTTATTGAGTTTTGTTATGTTGATTGCCTTGCGGCGCAAGGAAAACTTTGGATTATTACCTTTTTTGAGTTCCGCTGCCTTTGAGTAATATTTTGAGTAAATTTTGGGAAAAACCCGTTGTTTACGGAGCATTGACTATATTCGAATTTTTGAGAAATGTGCGCCATTTTGAGATGATTTTATTATGTTCAATATTTTTCTATGATAAATTCGATTATCTTGCCATTATATTTGTGGGGTAGAAAAAGGTGTTACATTAGTGGTATCAGAGCAGGTCGGTCGGTTCGACCAAGTTTTTATATTGTTAATCCCCTGTCAGTCAATAGTGTGAGAATACTGTTGGATGAGTTGTTTTCTTCTAACCTTGTTAGTGGTTGCAGATGGCTGGAAGAAATAATCGTGCTATTGCTGATGCTCTGGAATCGCTTGCCCAAGTGATGGCCCAAAATGGTGGACCTCCAGATGAGTTTTGTGTTTTGGGGAAGTTCCAGAGGAACATTCCGCCGACTTTTGTGGGCACTCATGATCCTGATGGTGCACAGAAGTCGCTGAGAGTGATTGAGAATATTTTTCGGGTTATGGCATGCACTAATGCTCAACAGGTGTAGTTTGGTATACATATGCTAGCAGAGGAAGTTGAGGACTGGCAGGATAACACTCGTCAGAGATTAGAAGGTGTTGGCATTGCAATAACTTGGATTGTGTTTAAGGAAGAATTTTTGAGGAAGTATTTTCCTGAAGATGTTCAGAGCAAGAAAGAGGTGGAATTCCTTAAGCTGGAGCAAGGGAATATGAATATGGCTAAGTATGTGGCAAAGTTTGAGGCTTTAGTGAAGTTTTGTCCACACTAAAATCATGCTGACGCAGAGATGTCGAAGTGTCTCAAGTTCGAGAATGGATTGAGACCAAAGATTAAGTAAGGAATTGGGTACCAGCAGATTCGTCGGTTTGTGGAACTAGTGTACAAGAGTAGAATTTATGATGAGGATAGTCGAACTCGATCTACTCATTACAAGTAGCTGAGTGAGAAGAAAGAGAAAGGACAGTATAGAGGGAAATTGTATGTAACTTCTGGTGATAAAGGGAAGCAGAAGACTTCGGATGGGAAAAAGTCAAGTGGGGGAACAACTACTGTTCCAAGCAACTGTTATAAGTGTGGCGAGCAAGGTCATCATGCAAAGGTTTGTAAGGTGCTGAGATGTCATCGTTGTGGTAAGAGAGGTCATAGAATTACTGACTGCAAAGATGAAGCTCCGACTTGCTTCAACTGTGGAGAGAAAGGTCATATCAGTATCTAGTGCCAGCAGCCGAAGAAGACTGCTACTACTGCTCAAACGAACATCAAAGTGTTTTCTTTGAGCGGTGCAGAAGAACCCAAGACAGATAACTTGATCAAAGGTACTTGCTTTATTAATGATGTTGAATTGATTGCTATGATTGATACTGGTGCTACCCATTCGTTTGTTTCGCT